CAATGGGCCACAATATTAATTCCATGAAAAGCTGATATCATGACACCCTTAGTTTGCAGGTAACTGAACTTGATGCCTTGCTTTGTGTATGTGTAACAGGCATATAATGAGCTTGGGGGGGGCTCTTTCAACCTTATCTTTAGGTTCCCTGGTCAGTCCTGGTCATCACTGACTTTAACACACGTGCCTCTAGAAGGACCATAAACTCAAGTCAAATAACAGGACTTTAACTTGAGCTTGTACAGAATATTACTGCTCTTGTCAGTAACCCTGCTGTTCACGTATATCAGACAAAATTGTAAAATTTGAAATAAAGCCACCAATATGCCCCACCCTTTATGCTGCTTTCAGCACCAAGGCTCCTCATAAGGAGGCCCACAGAAATATTTGACAGACTGGCTTAATTACAACAGGACAGGTGCTGGGTTTTTTTTCTTTTTTTAGCCAGATTCTCAGGAGAACAGGAAAAACCTGTAGCAGCTGCCTCCCTCGGAGTGGAGAGGGCTCAGCTGGAGCATCAAACACTAATGTGTGATTTAACAAAAAGAGCTAATGACCCCAGTAACCCACAACATATTTGTGCGCTCCACAACTACAACACCGGGGTTGAGACAAAATATTCAAATACAAGCCAAAAAGATGCGGTGGTAGTTTCAAATTGTGGTCTCAGACAGCTATAATACATAAAGAAGATGTCAGCATAGCCTGGCTATCTTTGAATTTACTGCTTCAAAAAACCCTATAATCATCAGCATGGTGGTTATTAACTATGTTTGTTAAATGATGCATGCAAAGGAGGAAAAAGAAAATAACTAAGATTTCTCTTGAACTAAAGGAGGCTTTTTCAGTAGGAGTGGTCTATTAGGCTTGGAAAGACTGCTTGGAAGGTACCAAGGAACAACAGTTTGAGTACGACAGGATAGGATAGGATAGGGAGTTGCATGGAGTACATGGATCCCCCATGTACTCCATGCAACTCCCTATATATGCAATGACATCCTTTAAAACTGGCTCCCGGGCCAAAATGATTGTGTTGGTTGGTGCTAATCATGGCAAAAATAAAATCACCATGGCCTCAGGCTTACATCTTTCTGACCTACCAACAATCCCTAAAAAGCACAACACCAAACTTTATCTCAAAGCTCATTTAACTTTTAGCCTTAATCTTATAGTAGACTCTGTAAAAAGCGCCAAAAATGTCCTCAAGATCCCATTTTAGGGTCGACACGATAACAATAGCCATAAACACAAGAGCAGAAAGCGCAAAGTACATGTGAGCACTTGGACACTTATACTTACTGAAATGTAAACAAGGAGGCGGTTACCTCGCTTTAGCTAACCCTCGTTAGCAGAAGCTAATGTCAACATAAAGGTGAAATGCAGCTTAAGATTTCGTACATGAATGCGTGGATATTTACTTTCACTCACAAACAGCCTAAAATCATATATAAAGTCAAAAATAAACACCTGTTGCACTTACAAGCATGTAATTAATGTTAACTGGCTGGTGACGCTAACTCCTAGCATCCCTCACTAAGCCTAACCGTGTACTCAAACACACTGGAGCTTGTACTGAGTTTGATACACGTAAAACTGATGGTGACAGTAGGGCTGGACATATGAAATACACATTTGTGGACGCAACCGTCATGTTGTGCGATGTAAGAAGAGAAAACGTTTTCGAATTGATACTCGCACGTCCGATAATGGAACTTCCCCGTTGCTAACTCCGGTTCAGGGCAGTGTTTCAGGTGTAAAAAACAAATCTAAACAAATTAGCACAAAGAAGTCCTGGATGCTATGGTGTAATTTTACTCATTTACAGACACAATGGCCTACCTTTCTTTTCCTCAGTTTTCTTCGGTATGTGGAACTTGTAGGGCTCCTTGGGCATATGCCTCTTATGGACTATGTGAGGTGCCGAGTTCCTCCTCTCCATCCTCCCGCCAGCAGCGCCCGGTCTGTCCGCTCCAGGCTGACTTTCTCTGGAAGGGGTTAGGTCGATCACCTCGCCATCTTGCAGGCTAACATTAGCTCCAAGCTCCGCAGCAGCAGACACCCTCCTCGGACGACCTGCTTCCCTCCGGGGCAGGCTGCTGTCGTCCATTGTATGTATTTTGGACGTAACGGAATAGTCTCTCCTCAACCGTCACTCCGGCACCTCGTCTCGGCTACAGTCCCGCGATGACACCGCTGTTACCTCCTAATCCCGCAGCGGAGGGAGTCGGAGCAACACTCAACCCGCACCATGCTTCCTGTGGGCGCAGATCTTCTTCACTGAGATTTAGCTGCACCTGGTTATCTCAATGCTGCCATCTTCTGGAAAATGAACCCCATCCCCACAGTTTCATTAGGGTTTCAGTGGACGCAGAACAGCGATGGGTAAATAAACGGCAAAATAAAGCATGTCAGGGTTCAGAGAGGACAAAGCCTCGAGCCTAAAATTGCGACAGTTCCCACGATGTTTTTCCACGGTGTAGCACAAAATGGTGGTATAAAGGGCCACTAAAAGGGAAAATAAGAAGCCGAGCAGAGAGGAGAGTGAATAAAGTCATACATCTGCAATAAATAAATACATTGCGATAAATAAAAACATTTATAAGAAACAAATATACAAAAATGGAAATTTTACACAAAAAAGTAAAGAAAAGACAAAAAAAACTTAAATAAACTGGCATATTTATGAGGAAAAACGTGTATAATTTAATCGACCCTGACGGATCTAAGTCAGGCTCGGGGGGGGGGCTGCCATAAGGAGTGCATGCAAGTCAGTCAATCGCAGGGCAGACAAACATAGAGACAGCCATTCACACCTATGAACAATATAGAATCACCATTTAGCCCAACATTGCATTTCTTTGTACTGTGAAAGGAAGCTGTAGGACTCACAGCTCCACGACGCAGACTTCTCGAACACAGACCCTAGTATGAAGCAACGGTATTTCATACTAAGGGAAAATGTTTACGAAAAAGTTGCCAATTTATGGTAAAGATGACAACTTCACAGGAAAAATTAAAAATGTATTAAAACTATTTCTTCTCTTTTCAGTGTTAGGTTGGAAAGAAATTCACAGAAAATGTTTCAGCCATCTATCGCGATTAATCCACCCCCACCTCCACCCCCGATGTTGCAAATTGTGGACAGACTAAAGGGGGATTTTACGTAACTGTTTACTGTGTTACTGGAATAGTTCTGGATATTTAAAAAAAAATACACTAAATTATACGGCAGCATGTTGGTACAGTGATTAAAGTATGAAGTGATTTTGGGAGCAGTGCTCCGCGTGACATTAAAGTCATGAATTTGTGTGTCGAATATTTGTTCAGTGTTGCACTTTGTAAACGGTCCCTGCATATCAGCCGCACATAGGGACATAGTCCTGCTTTAAAAGACAGCCTGCTGTAATTTCCTGGAATTCTGATTTTACTAAGGGCTGTACTGGATTCAACATCAAGCTGTACATCAGTTACCCTGATGGAGAGTCAAGGGAAAGGAGATTTATCTATGTGCAGGTAGATAATGCCTTGACCGCCTTCATTCACAATGTCCAATCGTCCCGCAGTGAGATCCCGCCTGCACACAATGTACCCTTTATTCCTGCACATCCTGCTTGTTCATGCTTTGATATGGACAGACAGTCAAGTACTCCAGCCATCGAGGCAGCTCTGCAGCGGGGGGGCGAGCATAAACGGGACTACTGTTTCTGGTTTGGCTGGTTCAAGTAATACAAACAGACATATCAAATGTAGTTTAGCACACGGTGTCTCTTGCTTTCTAAAGATACAGTTTCTGTATTTTCCAGTTGGAAATAAATGTATATTTTATAATAAACGTATTTTATAGTGAAAAAGAACTGAGAGGAAAAACGTGAGATTCGTTTTGAAATATTTGAGCAGTCAGTTTATCTGTACATGATCTGATTATTTCATACTGAGAATATTTTTTTACAGCAAGTGAACGAAAATGATGTCATGCTATTCTGAGGTTGTAATGAGCACTGCACGGTTAACATTATTTCGCAGTAGTGGACTAAGCTGGAGTGTCTTAATGCGTGCTCTGTAAGGAAATCACACCGTGTTCTAAAAATCTGTGAGAGAAATATTTCCCAGTGAGTGACTTTTTCAGTCTCAGCTGACTGTAGCTTTCCTATACCTTTGAAAAGTACTTTTGCATAATGGCCATTGACTAACAATAGGCTGTGAGCTCAGTTTCATGATCGTTAATATGCAAATTTACATGACCATCGACCAATGTCCATGAGCAGTCATTCACAGAAAGCCGGGAAATGGCTGCAATTACAGCATTGTGGTGGAAGATGTATAACCCCCCCTCACTGGTTCAGAGATGGGTTTTTACTTTTTACATCGATGGCTTTCTTTACTCCGGCGGTCCTCTCTGTCCAGGATGTGCACATTCTCATCACTGAAAGGGTGGTCAGCGGACTGTAGGTGTAAATAGACTGTGGAGCCTTGACCTGATGAGGAACTTGTTTGGGTTCCTTGATGTACACTGCTCAAAAACATGACAGAAACACTTTTTATTCATAGTATAGTGACAAGTCAATATAACGTCTTGGACAGTGATCTGATAATTTAAGTAGCAGAGGGGTTGTTCATCAGTTTTAGCTGCTTTGGTGTTAATGAAATTACCAATAGGTGCAATAGAAGTGCAACAATGAGACAACCTCCAAAACAGGAATGGTTGTACAGGTGGAGCTCACTTGTATTTTGACTGCCGTTAGGTATTAAGATGAAATGCACCAGCGTGTGCAGTGGTTCCTGTTGGTGCACAACAATGCCATAAAAATGACATCTGTCGTGATCTGTCTTTTTTTTTTTTTTTTGGCTTACTCCTGGTTTGGAAGATTTGAAGGCAATCAGAATAGCTTGTTGTAACTGTAGCTTTTGTGCATTTGAGTGATTGCATTTCTGTGTGTGCAAGGCGATAGGGAATTTTTTTAAACTAACAGTAACCATCCATCCAATGAAAGGCTTTCTATTAAAACAATTTATTAATGCTTTGTTCCAGACAATAATACTTCAACTTATAATCACCTTGTTCGTTTTTGCACAATAGTTAGTGTTCTCTGAGCAGAGATGTCCAATTCTCCTCTTATAGGGACTTTGCAAAAGTTTTGAGCCACCTCTCATTTCTTTACATTGTGCTCCCAATAAGTGAAAAATTAGTCTTTTTGGACAATTGCTGCTATTTCGCTAATTTTCAGTCCAGTCCTTGTACCTGAACATTTTCAGAAGAATGTTTTTCTCTGTTTATTTAACCACTTTGCATTGACCTATGAAACATTCAACCACTAAAAATGCATCTAACTCAATGGATGTACCAGTGTTGACTACATATAACAAGTAAGCAGAAATACACCATTTGGTCCCATTTCTTTTGGCTTAATCTACAAAAATATGAGAATGGAGCAAAAAGCAGCCAACATCCAAAGAAGAGCTTTGAATTTCATTCAATAGGAATGGAAAACTATTCCTGAAGACTGCATAAAGAAATTATTAGAAAACTTGCCTAAGAAAAGGTGTTCATACCAAATATTGACTTTCCAGGGTTTTTTTTTTTTTTTGCCCTATAAACACTATTTCCATGTACGCTTCTACATGTTTGAATAAAGTGCTGCACCTATTTCCCCATTTCCCTAGCAAGATATATAGAAAAATGAAGGGTGGTTCAAAGCTTTTACACAGTACTGTAATTCATTTTTTAAAAATGGCAGCCTTAATTAAGTGTAAATGTCATTATTAGCATCTTCAGCCTTGCTAACATTGACGGAGCTGACAGCAATCATTCTGTGTGTAATATGTAAGCACGTATATAACAAACAGTAGCGCTTGTTTTTTGTTTCCCTTCATTCATATTACACAGATACTTCATATACATTCTTTATATACATACAGTACATGTACAACAGGCTCCTTCTTTAATGCAGAGTTGAACACAGAGCATTTCACTTAGCAGCAGCTTCAGCTGCTGCAGGCTACTTCAGTTTAACAAAATATTGTCGGGATACATGATAAAAACTGTAAATCTACAGAACACAGAAGATAAATAAAATCTGCTAACTTATTAAAAGTGAATGTACAGCTGAGTTCTCTCCAGTGTTTTCAGACATGCTTTAAAAAGTTTTTGAAACACAGCAGCAGAGGAGGAAGCGATCCCATATCTGACAAGAAAACTAAAACAGGAGATGAAAACCATCTCTGAAAACCTTTTGGGCTCAAAGTAGGGGATTTGTTGCTTTGCTTTTAAAGGAATTATCTAAGAATACTGTAATTTCCTGTTTGGTACAAACCATCCAACACATCTCTTCTTTAGTTTTGGAGACTGAAATTATGGCATTCTGCAGACTTATTTTTCCAACCAGAAGAGTCCACGTTTTACATACGGTCCGTGTCTCCACCAATCTATACAACAGAATTGGTATGTAAAATATACCAATGAGCAAAAATACATGAGATGATGGCACAATTAAGAGTGTTTTCACATTTCCCAGTTTTCTGTTTTCCACTACTGCTCACCTCACAGGACCAGTGAGGTGAGCAGTAGCCTATCCAGGAGAAGCCTGTCCAGGAGCAACCCCCATACTTCTGTGTTCATAACCCCAAACATAAGAGTAACCAAATAACTGATGATTTCTACAGTAAATGGAGACATACGTTTTGTTATCATTCGGTGAAAGTAGTGTTCTCAGCCTGGTCACCACTATAAAGACTGTTGAGCTCTGCTGCTGGTAAGGGGTGGTTGGAACAGGATTTATTTCTTCAAAGGCGGGTCCAGTACAAAATGTGAGTTAATGTTAGCTATGATGGAGCCAGGGGGGAGCTGGAAAGGAAACCTGTGAGGGAGGGCCTTTGAGCAGTCTTTCAGCAGTGTGTGCCTGGTGAGCAACTTCCACAGGGTGTGGTATCCAGTCCTCTTAACAACATCCATGGCTAACTGCAGTTAGAACACAGCAGATAGCAGCACGGGAGACGATTACTTCCAATCCTCAGTCTTATGACCAACCTGTGCATACACCATTTAGCAACTGCTAACATCATTTCCTCTATTTCACTTTTTCAATTCTCCTTAAACAGTCAAAACTCTAAATTCACCAAGGTTTTTATAGGGAGTTTTATTTTTGCATCCGTGGGTCAACCAGAGTGGGTGCAGCAGTGAGACTGTCCTGGGAGTATTTAACCTAAGGGAGAGGAGTGTCTCACTGCCTGCTTAACAATGTTTTTACATTGCTAGGGAGTGACTGTTTACTCCGATGTGGATAATAAGTGTGTATCCTCCTGACTCATCTCCTTGAGATATACTTATTTCTAAATGTGTAATGTTTGCTGTCATCTTACCTCTGTTCTCATCAGATACAGTGGCCAGTTGTCTTCTTTATTTAATGTTTTTGATCTAATGTTGTTTGAATTTGGCCTTTTCTGAGTCTTTATTTCACCTGGAGCACATTTTTGTTACCTGACCATATCTCCTGGACTTAACATCTTACATACATATCACAGTATAAGCATTTACCACCTTCAGCTTAATTCTGAGCTGTATGTCTGTGAGCAGTGAGCACCGGTTGGTCTCGTGACTTCTCCCAAGAAGTTTGTTCATATACGTTTCATTTGGCTTTTTGTTAGTTACATTATTACTAAATACCACAGTTGGTTGAGTTTAGTTCCAGTCCTGATACGTGCCATCCTATCAGCACCTGTGGCACTGCAGTGAGTCCATCTCGCCAGTGTCCATACCATCCTCTCTTTTCTCTGCAGCACTGCTCCGCTCCTCCTCCATCACCTCATCCTCCACTTGTTTGGGAATTGAAGAGGAGAGGAGGGAAATGGAGACTACATCTTCATATCTGCTGAGAGTCTGCCCCGCTTCAGCCACCTTAAAGTCTGCAGTGGCTCCTGGTTCAGCTCCCATCTCCACACCAACACCCTGATTTCCCTCCATCTCCACACCTGTCTTTGCTTCACTGATCACAAACTGTAGTGCTCCGTCCATCTCTGATTTACCATGCAAACCCAAATCTGCCCCCATCTCCTTCCCCGTCATTGTCTCTTGAGTTAAACCCAGCCCATCTCCATCCCTCAGTCCAAGCTCTTGCTGTCCATGCAGACCTGCCTCTCCCTCCAAGCCCTGTCCTTTCACACCCCACAGCCCCACTGTTTCAACAGGTGGCCCTGGTTGTTCATTGACCCCCGTCTCTGGACAATGTCCCGTCTGTGGCAGCTGGTCTCCAGTCAGTGCTGCAGCTTCTTTGGCTTGTCTAATGCAGTTGATCCACTGTTGTTTGTTGAAGGCGTCACTAGCCTGAAAGCAGTGGCTCTGCAGTTGGCCTCCAGTACGGTATGAAACCCGGAAGAAGTTCTTTGCTGTGTGGAGGAGAAAATGAGGAAGAAGAAACAGGAGACAGAGGTGGTGAACATAAGCTAGAATTTGATAAAAATCCTATAATAAACAGATAAACAGATAATAAATAGATAATAAACAGAATAAACTGATATGTACACATTGTTGCTAAATTATTATCAGAAATAAAAACAAAAACAAACAAATGACCAATAAAGGTGTATATTTACTAAAGCAAAAGTGAGCTGTGCACAACTTTTATAGCACAGCACAAAGTCTCTTAGTTTTCCTTGATATACCATTTCACTAGATCACAACCTGAACATTATGGTTTGATGGTATGTCAATACATCTATCATTTTTATTGTCACTACTAAGTTCAGAACCCTAACAATAACTTTAAACCTAAAAATTGGATTTAACCCTTAAAATAGCCTTTTAAAGGCAGGCGAAATGATAACGCAGGTCAAAAAATCCAACATAATACAAAATTGAATCACTCTGATTTTATACACCCACTGATTATCACATGGACAGCTCTACCAGCATGTTTTAATATAATTTAATGCATTTTTCTGTCTCTGGAGTCATTTGTCAAATGACGCACCTCTTATCAAAATTGTAACTTCACGATTGTTTGCATGTGGCACATTCAGGGACACCCATAAAGTGTAGCTACAAAAAACAACCTGGATCACACCTTCCCAGAATGGGCGGTTTAAAAATTCCTGGAATCACTCATGTAAATATAGTGCTACAACAGGCTCCTCTGGTTTCAGTCACAGACACTAGACATTCAATCTTTTGGCTACATGGACGTCCACTGTGTTCAGGACAAGATCATTGAGGTCCAACATTAAATACTAGCTTATGCTGGTGAGTGCTGAATATGACACATTTAGTTTCTACCACGCAGAACTACAAAAACACTTTTGTAACCTTAACTTTGGTAACAAAGACATCCTCAGCATGCAGCACACCTGACACTGATTTAAATAGCTGTGTCCAGTACTGACTTCGTTCATTGTTGCTGAAGGCCCCTCTGATGGATCCGCCCACTCTTATCTCGCCATCTGACAGGTCTTCCAGGTCCAGCTGACGAATGGGGATTGGCTGGCGGCAGAGCTGATAGCCGACTGGCTGGTCGTTTGACGACATGGATCTGGTAATGACCAGGACGTCCTGGAAAAGGAACACGCGGAGCTTCTAGAAAGAGAGAATCAGACAGAGTACAGGTTTTAATTTCTTCCTCTAGAGATACCAATAAAATATATGGATGATATTTATGAGTGAGTTTGGTCATAAAATGGTAATGTTATGAAAGTATTAGAAGCATTTCTGTAAAGCATTAAAATCAACCAAATTAAGGAATCACCTTTAAAAAGCTCACGTATGTCATGAAAATTCATATAATGCATATCACTGATTTCAAGAGTGAGTTGAAAATAAACATGTTTTATTGATTGGATTTAATCAGTGTTGTTGTAAATATTTTAGCCATGGCAACAATCCTCTCTATGACATCATAAAGACCCAAGACTAAAAAACCCATCTGAAACTATGTTACGCCCCTCTAAACCCCCCTGCTGTATACCTTGCAGTGGGACTACAATAGGCTTCAGGCATGTCTTCATCAGCACCTCATCAGGTGCAATTAAACAGCAGAGCAGCCTGAAGCCCGAGCTTCCCATTCACAAGGATTACTTTTACATACAACGATTTAAATATCTAAAACTTTGAGGTCCATTTTGACCTTTGGATAAATTAATGAATGGATAAATGGGGAAGGCAGGACGATAAAGTTGTAGAATTGTACTGACGAGTCCTCTGTTGTTCTTCAGCTCTCCATGGCAACTGAGGGTCTTGGAGCGGTCGATGAGTTCGTCCCTTTGTCCGTCCTCTGTGTACACCAGACGATCCTTGTAGTATTGACACTCCGACTCTCCTGTCTGCCTGTTGATGTCTGCCACCACGCTTTGAACCATCAGCATCTGTGGGGCAGACACACAAACACACTGTTATCTCATCTGACATTTGTGGTCAGCTGAGTTGATGGATGGTTGGACAGTCATGGACTTCTACAGCTCTCAATATTCTGCCAACACTGAAGAGGCAGCCAGGAGTTTCTCTGTCTGCATCTTTGTCTATTGCCTTACTGTCCCTCGACTGTCTTTGGGATGAAGGTGCATCTTGAGACATGTCTGCACTAAGCAAGTTTATGTAACAGTCATGAGTATTAGTCTTTTTAAAGGCTTTATCTGGTGACCCAAACTGATGAAGTATTGCAATCTTAGTTTTCCCCACCGCTTCGTCCAGGTGCTGTCGATCCGGGTGGTCGTTGGCTGTGTGCTTGAGGATCTCTCTGAGCAGCAGTGGGTATTTCACCAGCCGGCTGCGGGGGATGTCCAGGAAGTTCCACAGGTCCAGCTTCCTGCTAAAAGGTGACTGGAGACAACGCTGCAAGAAGTCCTGGACTCGCCGATCTTGCTTCTTCTGGTCCAACAAAGCCTTGGCTTTGACCTGGTTACTGCAGTACGGCGTGTAGGCAGAGAGGCAGGGCAGCTACAGCGACACAAAGACAAACACTCTGATAAATACTTGGTGAAGAGCTAATATCTGGATTCTGCTGTCTGTTGATTAGAAAAACGCTCACCCAGTCAGTTAAAATATGTCCTACATGTTCTGTGGACCCGTCAGGTTTTCTGGCATCTCGGAGGCGACTCAGCAAATCTGAGGTAAGACAGAAAAGTTAAAATTTATGAAAAGAGACGTCAGAGTGAGAATAATGGATGCTTTAAGGGCATCAAGTAATACAGAGAAAGAAAAACTCCACAAAATTAAATTTAGACTTAAACTCTAATATTTTATACAATAGAAGTGTAAATATGTGTCACGGTTCTGGGTCATTTTGACACAGCTCTTTGAGTTATGTTTTGGTTTGTATTAAGGGTTATATTCTTTCAGTCTGTCTCAAGTCCGCGTCTTTGTAAATTGTTTCTTTTTTCTTGTTTTATTTTGATAGTCCCCATCCTATGTCAGTGTATTCACTTTTACTTCCCCCTGTCTCGTTAGCCTTAATTTCTCCCAGCTGTGTCTCTCTCATGTTTTCCATTTCCTGATTACTCCACTGTGTATTTAAGCCCTGTAAGCTGTGTGTTTTGTCTCAAGTGCCTGGTCCATGTCAGTCTTTAGTTTCGCCGTTCAGAGGGTTGTTTTGTGTTCTGGTGAGTTTCATTTATTAAGAGTTTTTTTCTAGCAATAAAGCTGCGTTTTGAGTTCCAGTCCCGTCTTTGAGAGTCCTGCATTTTGGGTCCTTTTTCCTGCCTGCCTGCACACAGCCTAACATGATAATATGTAAGTGTATATAAAAATGTATCGACCAAAAAAAAACAAAAAAAAAACAAAAACGTGGCCAGCCTAAATCACTAATTGGTTTACTTTAACTGCCATGACTCCTCCACCTGAACGCTAATGAGGCTCTGTTTAATTTTAGTTAAGAAAGCAATGAATTATCAAACATCCATTACAAATTGTTTTTATACACAGAGCATTAAGGTTGTTATATATGTCATTCATCTGTATGTCTACATAAAGATCATGCAAATGACTAAAGATTCCTGTGAAAAGATGATGTAAACGGTGGTAAATAAAATATTTTCCTACCTTCATGCAGAGGTATAAGTGATTCCAGAGTACCAAAGATCTGGTTCAGTTCTTGCTCGGTCATGATGGATAGCTTGAGCATTGGGTCGTGGTAGGCCTACAGCATACGCATAAAGAAACACAGGTGACAATACTGACACTGAAGGCAAGTTCTTCATTGAAACATAAATAAACAAGTTACTTCACCTTCTTGGCCAACTTCAGATCCTCCACCAAATCCTGCTCACCCTGAGCCAGCTCAAATATAGCCTGCAAAGGAAGAACAATTACTTTGAGAACTCAGTGCTACAGATTGACTTTAGTGTTAGTTTGGTTCAGTGGCTGAAAAATGAACATGCAGTATCTGGAGTGGCCACTTGAGGCTGACTTAGAAAGTGAGTCAGCCCCATTGACTCCCATGTTAAAATGCCCAACTTTACAGCAGAAACAAACATGTTTACAGTGTGGTATATAAACAGCTTTAGAATCTATGGATATTTCCCCCTTTATAACGGGTCTATGGTGAAGTTAGATATGAGGCCCTTTAATTGACAGGAATGCCGACACAGCTGCAGTCAGACGCTTTTTGAGTCAGACTGGACTCATTTCTGGTGTTGGTGCCTGTACAGCTGGTCCACGACGCTGTGCTTCATTTTGATGGGTGACATTCTCTTTTTTCTTTTTCTAGTTTTATCACTAATTATGTGGAGTCCAAAAACAAATGGGTGGCAACATTGGCTACTTCCATTTTTTTATACATACAGTCTATGATTCAGGCCAAAAAGTTCATTCATCATTGTTGTTTGGCAGTGTTTCCAAAATTTCGTTGTACATGTACAGTGACAAAAAGGAGCTATTCTATTCTACTAATCATTCTTGAGACTATATTCTAGTATTTAAATTATAATAATGAAATGAAATAATGTACCTGAAGACTTTGAAATAAGAAATAAACTGATAAAAATTCACTGATTTTCACCTCTTGTCGTTTTATTTCTTTGGGGCTCAGAGGTTGTGCCGCTCCCAGTCGGACGTCAAATGTCTCGCTCCACAGCTTGCTGTCCCGACGCTTGGAGGCCGGAGCAGCTGCGGTTGAAACCCTCGGGGCAGTCATGGAGGACGAAGGGTTCGAGAGTGTCGCTGAGATAACACGTGTCTTTGTTGTCGAGGAGGAAGGAGGAGGAGGAGCAGCTCCCTCTGCACGGCCCTCATTACGAAGACTGATGGTGCGCTGCAGTAACAGAAGATGGTTTAAATATATATTAGAACTTATTTCTGTTTGTTAAATTGTACTATTCTGTAGCCTAAAACTTTTGTTGCCATCCCTGATTCTGGAAGTAAAAACTCATCAATCATCAATTTTCCCCATAAATGATATTATTAAATAATATTATTTGACTATAAAACTGTTTTTTGAATTATGACCTCCCTCCACTCCCTCAGCACAGGTGCCAGTATACTGTAATGTCACCTGCTATTGAAGTCAAGCTGAGTGTTTTGGGTGTTGCCATTTTTGTGTTTTGAAATCGGACAGGATCTGGCTGCACATTCATAAGGCGGCGATATCTTCAGAGATTTCTGTGTAACCAGTCGTCTTTTTGCCATTAGAAAGAATGCAGTTTTAAGGAACTTCCACACTCACTTCACTGCTATTTTCTACTCTAAACTGTAGTATTCCTAGCTGCCCCTGCACGAGATCTCTGATCTAATTTCATCAAACCTAATACTTAAAATGGGAAGCAGGATAAGAGCCACTCTCATTTCCCATCTTAAATAACTTACTACTAAAAAAACTGAAGACATGTGATTGTTGGTTTACCTGCAGTGTCTGGCCAATCCTCTTCAACGGCGTTGTCTTGACGGGGGGCAGCAGGCTGGCCAGAGACGCTACCCGGGATACAGGCTTACTACGCTTGGTGCTGGGCTCCTGGAAGCGGTGAGCAGAGCCACATGATTACATTATCTCACAAAATCAACACACCTGGGATACAAATGACCCAAAGGGTTAACAAGGACATCAATTAATCAACCAAACATCAATACCAGCAGACATTTTTCTTGTTTTATATCAGCCAGTCAGAGGTTTCTGTGTGTGCAAATGTTCTAGTTGATTGTGGGAAAGCCGACTCTGGTTTGTTGACATATTTAACAATAGCATGACTCAAAAGTCTTTCCCTCAGTACCAGACTTTATCACACACGCAGTCATGTTTCACTAACTTATGTCACGCACACACTAAACAGGACGGTTGTTATGGTCACTGTGTGTACTGGATGATCATGGAGACAAGAGGCTGTTGTGGTTTCACTTTTCAAAATAAACTGAATCATGTAAAAGAGTATGCAAAATATTTACAGATAAGAAGCAAAAAAGAGCCGTCAGGTGCTAAAAAATAAACCTTAGACTCAAACATTACAACTTATGTCTAAAAATATATAGTTTCATGCATCGGTTAAAACACTCGACTCCAGGTACACGACGCTCAGCTGGAAACACTTCACGCAAGTCGAGCTGCCGGAGATTCACAAAATTTACAGAAAATGTTAAATTTTTTGGGATTTATATCGTTATCGGACGATAGATGTCTTATATCAGGATATGAGATTTTGGTCATATCGCACAGCCCTATGCATGACTACCAAAAACTGCATTATACCATCCCTTTATTAGTTTATTGGCTCAGATTTCTGGGGAAGTTCCCATGATTTACTGACCTTTTCTCCTCTACCTTCCTCTTTTGACTCCCCTTGTGTTTAAATGGTATCATTATCTTTTTCCCTTTATCCATCTCTTCCCTTTCTCTTCAAAACCCAACTCAACCTCTTTCGAGGTGGTAAAAAATGTAATTAGAATGGTTTAAAATAAAATGTGATGGGCTGCTTTTCTTGTCATGATGCCTCCAAATTTCGACACCGCGGTGAGTGAAATTATTTAAAATTCAACTGCATTTGTTCTCTTTATTGGCTGAAAAAAGTACTCCTACAGGTACTTAAATGCATTGGAAAACTGCTGGAGAGGGCTAGATGCTGACAAAAAAAACACCAATCCAAATCAGCAACGCAATATCTGTGATACAGGGACACAAAACAAACAACAACCATGTCAAGTCCTTCAATTGTTGGAGTTTTTAGTCTCATTCATCGCAAACAGTGTTTTATATGCTCAGAATAAACTTTACGGTCAAAATGTTTTTGCTCAATTTTAAGTTTTGATGAACATAATGGTTATTTAATGTTTATATTTACTGCAAATTAACTGGAAAAAGACATCTTTGTGGCAGTATTTTGTTACAACAAACTGCCGAAGGTTGAGTGTAAAGCAGAATCAGCATCACAGCTCGTTTAATAACAATGCACACAGTTAATAATAATAAGCAAAGTTATCTACATAGGGATGTCACCCCAGCATTCATACTTTATGCTTAACGTTTTAAGTGTGGAAAATATCAGATTTAAGGTATTTCAACATGTTAAATCTCCCAAAAATATTTTTCTATGGCACATGCATTGAGATGCTACCGCTCCATTTTCAGTTTTTATCAGAAGCAGCAGCTTGACCCAAGCTGGATCTCGAAAATAAGATTGAATATGTTGCAAGTGGTAGCTGATTGTTTAATTAAAAATACATTTAAGCCTAGAAAGGCTTGTTAAAGACTAGGTACTATTTCAGTTGGTTATTTGTAGTCGTAGTAGTGAGTCTGTAAACAGACAGACTCAAAGCCCTGATTAGGACGGCATCTTGTAAACAATAGGGACACCTGGTGTGCACCTGGAGTTTCTGCAGTGGAAAGGGTACATCTCTCAGTGTGAAACTGCCTCTGGGTTATCTGCACTGAATGGAGACTTACAGTAAATCAGCGTGTTTGTGTGTCTGTGTGTGTGCAGCTCTGCCCGGCAGCTCACTGTCAGCTGACCTACTGGAACACAGGAACCATCAGCTCTCACAATCAGGAACCAGCTGCCTAAAAATAAATCAACCTCTGAGATAATTTTCTTTTTTCCTTCACCTTTCGATTTAAGTTCACCCCCCAAATCTGGAAATAGAATTTCCACAGTTTTCAGCAACTTCTCAAAAAATGATGAGTCAGTGATGAGTCTCTAAAATACTCATGAATCACATGGAAATAAAGTCAGTGTCATTTCCTGGTGAAAGTTATGAGCTTAGATGCATTGCAGCCGTTTGGTGTTGTTTTTTTTTTTTTTTGCTTTGTTTGTTTGTTTTGTTTTGTTACAGATTTCAGGTTCAGTTTGGATCATAAACTATCCGCTTATTTGCTTCATGCTCAAGAACTTTCCATTGGACAAACTGTAATGGGTTTTCTGTGGATGATGGTGCTTCAACTGATTCGAACTGACAGCAATCAATTCAATACAGCTCGTCAGCAGCTGGCTGGTTATTTAATTACAGCAAGTTCACAGCAGGTTGACTCCGGTCTGCAGTTCGAGTCATTGAACTGCAACGTTTGTTCAGTCGTTTGATATAAAGTTCATTGTAAATTTAACAACTGAACAAACGTTGCAGTTCAGGGATTCAAACTGCATTTTTATAGGTCTTTAGTGATACCTAGCATGACCCCAGACTTTCAGGAAATGAAAATTACTATAAAGAACATTTTGAGGTGTTGGTCATCATAGTTTCACTTCTCCTTTCTTGTTCAGTCTTTTTAGTTTAAAGTAAATGACATTAAATGTAACTAGTGCTGGTTTTGATATTAGTTTGTTGAATTAGACCATATAACATCAGATTAGATCACATTTGATTGATTCACATCAGTCGTGTAATAGAGTAAAGTAGGCCCAATCAGATTACATCATATAAAACCAGAATACAAGTTACTAGAGCAGATCAGATTCTGTATATTTCTAATTAATTACTGTACAGATAAGTACATAAATATATGAGGT